AAAAAAAAAAAAAAAAAAAAAAAAAAAAAAGAGTAGACATATTTTGACATTTCACATTTATGCAAAGACTCTTGGCACTGCACTTCTCCTAAAGTTGATTCACTTTCTCAGAACCTCCTTATTCCTAGTTGGTTGAAATTATTATTATTATTATTATTATTATTTTTGTACTGGGGATCGAACTCAGGTCCTTGAGCTTGCAAGGCAGGCAGCAGAACCACTGAGCTAAATCCCCAGCCCTGGTTGAAATTATTAAATCAATCTGTAAATTGGAAAAGGAATGAACAAATCATTGTCAGAACGATTCCTGTCTTTGGGGAATGTGACGCTGACTGAGGAGTAATTTTGATGGTACACATTTCTTCTGTTTAAATGTCTTACAATAAAAAAGTATACTGATTGGGTGGGGGGACCCCAATAAGTACATAGTAAAGGGCTGCAGAAGAATTATTTTCCTCAACGTGGAGTCAGGACTATGAGTTACTGAACAAGACTCCACGGGCCACTTTGAAGTAGATGCTCAAGAGTGTAATTCTGACTCATAATACTTCTTACTGTAGACATCTAAAGTTTACAGCAATAAACTTTAATTATTTAGAACTCCGTTTTGGAGGTAAGCAATAGCAAGCTGAGCTGTGATTTCAGAGAGTTTATTTTCTACATCTTTAGTAGGATCTAATTTGAATTTCTGGGTTATTTTCAGGGTGCAATTTTATAGGCAAAGTGACCCAAAAGGAAAAAAGAAAATCTATACCTATAAGTTTGAATAATAATAATTAATAGTGAAATACTATTAACCGGAGCTCAGAGAGGTAAACTTTTCATCTTAGCAGATTAACAATTAAAAATCACGGGACCGTAGGCTATAATGTCAGTGACTGTTTACAACTTTGTTTTTTGTCTGTGTTCTGGGTACGGGGAATCGAACTTGGGACCTTGAGCTTGTGAGGCAGGCGGCGGCACCACTGAGCTAAATCTCCAGCTCTACAACTTTAAATTTACTGCTTATGTCTTAGAAGGCCCCCAAAGTTCACATTTACATGTTGGACACTTACCTTTTGAACTAGAGAGAGGACCCTGCTGTCTCCTCTTGGCATCGCTGAGAATGTCAATGACTAATGTGGCAAACTCATGGGCATTAAACCGAGCAAGTTTCTGTCTGCCCTAAGGGGGAGAAAATAATTGAAAACATTCCCCAATGTAAAAATATAGACATGAACAGTCTCCCCAAACCAGTCCAACTCTTTGTAGGATCCTACAAAGCTCCTCTAGTGCTATCACAGAGTAACCAATCACAGCCATAATCAAATCAAAACAGTCATGTTTTCCATGAAAACAGGTTCAAGCCATTTATGTAAGAAAATTCCTTAACAATTCAATTTTTACAACGCATATTTATTTTTGTGAGAAAAAATAAAATGACTCTGGCCCGGGGGGTAAACCTCAGTGGTGGAGTATTTCCTTAGCATTCACAAGGCCCTGCACTGCCTAAATAAAATAAAATGGTTCTACCTCATGCTTTTCTTCTATTAATGACTTAGTTTTGAAGCAGACTCAGTAATGAGAAATTAGCATGGAGGGAAATTTCTAAATTTCAAGACAAACACAATCATAGTCCAGATGTGGAACTTTATATACAACTGCTTAAAATTAAAACTAAAATATTTTCTTCATTTACTCACCATTTCTCCTCTTGGTGGATACTAAGGATATTTTCAACACACTATTATTAAATACAATGCTTTAATGAAACTCGTTCTGTGAAAAGCTAATTTATTAGAGCATTATTCCAAAATAAGGAATTTCAATGTAAAAGGATTTTTTTTTTAGGTTTCTACAACTGGTAAATAATTTGTTTTTCTGAAGTCTATAGTTATTTAAAATCCTATCTGTAGCATGAGAAAGTCTATCCTGCCTCTCACCACTTGGAGTATCTCATATATTTTGCTAATTTTTTGTTGTTTTGTTTTTGGTACTGGGGATCGAACTCAGGACCTTGGCTTGTGAGGCAGGTGGCGGAACCACTGAGCTAAATCCCTGGCCCTTTAGGTTGCTTTTTTTTGATTACTAGTAAGTTTAAATATTTTTTCACAAGCCATTTATATTTTTTCTGTGAATTGTTTTATATTCTTTCCCACTCATCTATTTACATCTATTGCTTTTTTAAAAATCATTCTGTGAATTATGTTTACGTGTGAATAAAGGATATTAAATTTTAATCAATCAAATCACTTAAAATACACATCCTGGCAAAATTACGTACCACGACATGACATCAGCCATTCCCCAAATACTACCAGTTACTTTTCAAACTGAGCCACTTGCCTGGTTTCGTGTTGATGAATACTCAGGATTGACCGGAAGAAAGGGGACGACGGTTGTCTCGGTTACCAGGGTACTGTGGTTTTGCGTGGCAAGCCAGACTAGCCAGAGGAAAGAGCCAGAGATAATCTCATCACACGAGGGGTGCCACCGCTCTGCTGGGAGGCGCGGCTCACGCGTTACTAGGGGGTTTTGGGGAAGAACCCTCTGAAGCCAACACATGCAAAGGTACATGACGACACATGTGTTATCAGGACAGTAGAAATTGGGCAAGTAAAGCACGGAGGCTGGTAGCTTGTTACTGCCCACCGATAACAGAAGCTTAAAAGATAAAGTCACACATTAAGTCACCTGCATCAGTCTCTCGCCTGTCAACTTCATCGTACACATCCATGGCAAGTTCTTCAAACAAATGATTACTTAGCTGCAAGTAAAAAATATCAGGAACACAAGGGACAATGATTAACACCAGGAGGATAAGAGGGGACTGTGACCTATTCACCCTTTTATCTCCAATGTCTTATTCAAAGCCAGGGTCTATGCCAACTATTACACATATAATAACATTTTAAAAATTGTGCAAATCCTCTAGAAGTATCTGCTTTCCGGAGTGGCTGCACTGCTCTGAGACACACAGAATTCCTGCTACCGAAGAGTCAAGAGGGGCTAACATGCATTATCTCACACTCATTTCCAGCTCTGCCTGGGATGGCACCCTGGAAGTCTCGTCTGCTCGAGAGCATTTGTCAGTTCCCTGAAATGTAAGGCTCTTAAAGCCTTGGTAAAATAAAGTGAAAACATGCCCTCTGTGAAGACAGAATGTACTGTGCACAAAGACGAGACTCAGACTGTGGCTGGGTGTCTGCTGTCCTCCTCAGTGGCAGTCCTTACCCCACAGAGCTGAGTTCCTAACAGAGCAAAACCTGACTCATCAGCACACTGTGTGGTGTCAGCTCTCGACACAATCACCACACAGGCTGAGGGGCCTAACAAGCAGTGGCTGGGGACAGGGGCGGGGAGGACAATCAGGCCTTCCCAACTCAGAGAGGATAAGACGCTGCCAGGGCAGCTTGGGCTCTCTCTATACTTTCTGTTTCATGAAACTCACCTAAGATGTGGCAGATGGGATTTTTCTTTTTTTTTTTTTTTTTTTTTTTTTTTTTTTTTTTTTTTTTTTTTTTTTTTTTTTTTTTTTTTTTTTTTTTTTGGTACTGGGGATTAAATTCCAGGGCTTTACACTGAGCCACATTCCTAGCAACTCACCCATTTTTGGTTTAATTTTGACACAAGGTCTTGCAAAGTGACTAAACTGCTCAGGCTGGGCTCAAGCCTGAGATCCTCCTGCCTCAGCCTTCCTGAGTGCTTGGATTACAGGTGTGTACCACCATACCAGGCTGATTGTGACTTTTTTAAACTGACTGCTTCCCTGCTCTGCCAGAGCAGATGCTCAATCTGTTATACTGCCAACTCTACATCCACAAAAAGTGCTGGGCACTTGGGGGCCTCAGGAAACAGCCACTTGCACACTAACCTACCGGTATTTTATGCACCAATTAAAAAATGCTGGCTACAGAGATCTCATAGGAACATGTGCAACATGTATAATACATTGCTGCCCAAGTATGATTTTCAGTTTTTTTTTTTTTTAAAGATACATATGAAATAAGAACTGAAAGAAATAGGCCAGGGATTTAGCTCAGTGGTTCTGTCTCCTGCCTCGCAAGCACAAAGACCCAAGTTTGATCCCCAGTACCAAAAAAAAAAAGCTGAGCTCGAATCCAAATCCTTTAGGAGTATAGTGACTGAGGACAATTCCCCGTTCTCTATTTTCAATTTCTCTAGTCTAGTCAAAATTACATTTATAATTAAAAACAAACTCTGAGAGCCAGGTGTGGTAGCACATGCCTATGATCTGTTAATCGGGAGATGAGATCAGGAGGATCATAAATTGAAGGCCAGCCTAGGCAACTCAGCCAGACCCTAACTCAAAAATAAAATAAAAAGGGCTGGGGATAGAGCCCAGTGGTAGAGCCCTTAGCCTAGCATGCCATGGCTCTAGTTTCAATCTCCAGTACCGCCAAGAGAAAAATAAAAACAAAAAGCCCTGAGAGGCTGGAGACTTAGCTCAGTGGTTCTGCCTGCCTCGCAAGTGCAAGGTCCTGAGTTCAATCCCTGGTACCCCAAAAAATAAAAATAAAAATAAAATAAAAGCCTGTTGTCAAATATGATAATGGACTGAGAGCTTTAGCTTGCTTCATAAATATCAGATTTCCCACCTGGGAGTGATACTGCGTGACTATAATCCTTATACTTTGGGAGGCTAAGGCAAGAGGATCATAAGTTTGAGCTCAGTCTGAGCAACTTAGTAAGGCCCTATCTCAAAATAAAAAATAAAATAGCTGGAGATATAGCTTTATGTGAAGCTCTGGGTTCAAACCCCAGTATCTCCCCCCACCAAAAAAAATCCAATTTCCCTCTCTAAGGGGAAATAAACTGGTATCATTATTACTAACGACAGTAACACAGTCAGGGATTTGGCTCAGTGGTTCCACTGCCTGCTTCGCAAGCACAAGGTCTCAAGTTCGAACCTCAGTACAAAAAAAAAAAAGAAAGAAAGAAAACAGAAAACAATAACACCAGCTAGCACTGGCTGAGCGATTACATCCTAGGTGCTGTGCTAAAAGCATCCTATTTAGTACTTTTACTATCGTCCCATTTTACAGACAAAGGAAATCAAGGCATAGAAGTTAACAGCTTGCCCAAAGTCACAAAGATAGTAAGTGATGGAATCAAGATTCAGGTTTAAGACCCAAATTTAACATTTACTAATATGAGGAATACAAGGACGTTCCCTGTTATTTTTAACTTTTCATTAGAGAGGGAAGGAGGGAGGAAGAAAAGGGGGCAGGAAGAAAGAGATAGAAACAGGGAGGAAAAGGACGGAAGGAAAAAGAAAGGAGGGAGGGAGGAAAGGAGAGGAGGAAGTCACGAAGGAGGACCTGGCACTGATAAGAGCAGCTACCTGCAAAGGGCCCACAGGGGTGGGGGAGTCAACAGGGATAACTGAGTAGCTCTGGTCCCTAACCCCCTGCACACGCCCTCCCTTTCCCATGCCCGACACCAAGGCACAGCAACACCAAGGCATTTGGCAGGGTCAAGAGGTGACCCTATGCTTGCCCACAGCCCAAGACCTTAAAAGCTGTGCCGAACCCTGTCCAAGGTATGTATTTAAAGCTACATGATAGACACCAGACATCACCTCAGCCTCCATGCAGATTTGACTAACAATGTAAGAGAGTTAGAGGGAATCTGGGTTTTATGAGGTTTAATTCATTTATAATAAATATTCACTTATATATTATAAGTAATTAAATGGAAACCACACAGTATTTTGTGCTAACTCCAAAGCTTATCATCTTTATCATCTTACCATATAGCAGTTAATTTAAGAAAGGCAAAAAAACACACAGACACACAATACCAGAGATATAGAACACAGAGACACCAAACAAATTGCATAAAACACATTTATTTCATAATACAGTTAAATACTAGTAAGGATAAATTCGTTTTATATAATACTGAATATTTTATGAAATTCTAGAAAAGGGTCTTCTGCAAAAAAAAAGAAACAAGAAAGTCATGATGCAGGCAAGCAGCAGTTTCAGAGTTGGGCTTTGGAAAAACTGCTACCTACACTGTGAATATGGGCAGAATTCAGGCCACTGAATGAGAAAAGAAACTGGACAGGGCAAACACTCAAGCAAGAGAGGACTCCCAGAGAGGACTGCAGGCGTCAGCTCTTAGCCTGAGTTAATCCACAGAGAAACTCCTGAACACACATACACACAATGGGAACCAGCAGACTGGCTCTGAAGGGTAACTTGGATGGTGCCCTCAAACGTTACGAAAACAAGATGAGAATCTTGGTTTTGATCCAGAGGACAATAAGAAGCGTTGAGGACAGTAAGTAATCTGGTAGCTAAAATGACTGGGAAACACCCTGTTGAGGCATCATTTGACGGGACTGGACAAAGGCTGACGTGGAAAAACTGCAGACACACAGAGAAGACTAAGAGGTCACCCGCGGGACTGGGAAGGTTCAGCACATATATGACTCCAGACTGCCAGCTGCTTTTTTTTGGTACTGGGGATCAAACCTGGGACCTTCAGCTTGCGAGGCAGGAGGCGGAACCACTTAGCTAAATTCCAGGCCCTAGACTGCCAGCTTTTAAAAGCATGAACAGTGGGTGAGAGAGCTGCAACTGTGGCAGGGAGTCAATCTGTGGAGTCCCCATCCCGCCAGCATCAGTTCCGATCACTCCCTAGTATCCCATCCTACGAGCCCAGAAGAAGTAATCCCAAGGAAGCGTGCCCCACTTACTCATTCACACTGAGAGATACTAGGGACTCTCGCTAGGAGAAACCATTTCCTACTGTCACAGACACAGACTTCACTCTTATCATGACACAGAAAAATGGGACTAACTGAAGCAGAGCCAGTGAACTGGACATATCAAACTTAATAGTGCTTTCATTCTTCACTGCTACACAACCCACGATCGACTTCTAATTAAACATCTCAAAGTCTGAGAAAAAATCACTTGACACAACAGTAACTAGAACTGAGAAAGGCACCAGCAGGATACACTGAGTCCCATCCTGAGACTCACAGTAAAAAGCGATACTCACAGACTGAAGTTTCTTCTTAGCAGCTTTTGCCAATTCAGACAAATCCAGGCTGCTAAGAAAATGTACAAAATGCATAAGTAAATCAAGAGAACACATTCATGAGCTCAGCAGACAATTAAGACACATAAGGGACGAAAATACCAATTACAGTCTAGGGACACTATCTGAGTCAAGCACTCAATAGCCAGAGACTCACTCAGTGAGGAAATTGACACAATTTGGCCAAAGTGACTCCTAGAAATACAACTGTCATACAAAAGAAAAAACATCACTCACCAACTAAAATGACAAAAATGATTGCCAGGTGAACCTCTGGGCCCTTACGTGAGGAGTCACAAATTTTTAAGTATTTAAAAAATAATCAAGGGGCTGGGGATGTCACACAGTGGAAGAATGCTTGCCTAACATGCATGAGAGACGCTGGGCTCTACCCCAGAGACACGGGCAGAGGGCAAGATAGGAGAAAACATGATAAAGGAAAAGTATGAAAAACCAGATTGCATCTGGAAGAGCAGTTAATCATTTCATAAATGTCTGATGGTATTTGTGCCACAGTAACTGGCTAAGCAGGGTTTAAGGTTCACTCCTACAGCATCCATCTTATAAACTGGGGTCAGCAAATTACAGCCTTATTTTTGTTAAGCCAATGAGCTAAGAATGGTTTCCATATTTTCAAATGGTTGGGGAGGATAGTATTTCACAAAGAAGTAGTATTTCATCAGGTGTGAAAGTTTTGTAAAATTCAAATTTCAGTGTCCAGAAATAAAATTTTAGTGGAACAAATATGTCCATGCGTTTATATAATGTCCACAGACGATTCAATCTATAAAGGGACAGGTGAGTAGCTGAGACAGACGCCGTATGGCCCACAAAGCCTAAAACATTTATTGTCTGGCCTTTGACAAAAAAAGAATTTGCTGACTCCTGTTATAGACAAAGAATATAATCTCTTATGATACAAAAATATTTTGGGACTATAACTTATGCCACAATATACTACAACTGGCTCACAGTGACCATATCACTGCCTCCAATTTCCTTACTAATTAATTGGTTATTTGTGCTCTTTCAAACTTAAGTTTTATATGGTTTACTTACAGCCGTCTTATTCCAAATTGTATAGCCATAAAAGAGAAAAATGTATGGGCTTTGTTAAACAAACTATATTACATTTAAAATACTATATAACCATGGAAATATGGAAACAGGTAAAACTGATTGGTATCTCCATGGCTTACCTGTCTGCCATTTGAGGTATTATAAAGTGCTGTCCATTTTTGTGATCTGAAACAGAAACCAATATATAGATATTGATAAGATCTGTTGAGGAACACCACTATTATTTTCTTCATTTAAGTTCTGCAATTTCTATTTTTCCATAATTATGAACCACATAAGGGAACAGAGGTTGTCAGGCTGGCTACAAATTCCCAAAGACCTGAGCAGTATCTAGGATTGCATTCTTATTTTCTTCTGGCAAAGATTCAGACATCATGCAGCAGAAGACCTTTGCTTAACTTAAACCTTACAATGAGTTCACCCCAAGAATACTGATTATCTTCAGCCATGGAAGAAATATTGAGGGAGCTGAATTAGCTTTTGATATTATATATGAGAACTTTAACCCAAGAGCACAAGTATTTTCTCCCATGTTTTCTTCTAGAGGTTTGAGAGTTTTAGTTTTATATTGAGATCTATGATCCAGTTTGAACTTATCTTTACGTAAGGCATAAATTTTGATTGAAGTTCATTTTCCTGCACATGGATGACCATTTCTCCCAACTGTTGTCCTAATACCACAATATTTCCCTCCCTTGGATCACTTTCGTACCACCTTTGTACAAAAAAGGAGATCCATTTCCAGATTCTCTATATTGTCTCATTAATCTAAGTGTTTATCTCTTTATTAATACCAGTTTCATATACTATAGACTTCTAACAAATCTTAAAATTGGTTGGTATGCTTCTTCCTACATTACCCTTTTGCAAAACTGTCTATTCTTATGTCTCCCCATTTAATTTTGTTTGTTTTTTGATACTGGGGATCAAATTCGGGGGACAGGTGCAAGAGAGGTGGTGGCACCACTAAGCTAAATCCCTGGTCCTTAAATTTTAGAATTTTAGTATGCTGATATCTACAAAAAAGTCCCGAGTTAAATTAAGTTTATATAGTAATTTGTGGAAAATTGATGTGTTAACTATATTGAGTCTTCTGATCTATAAAAATAGTATGTGATTCTACTTATCCAGTTTTTGTGACTTCTTTTATCAGCAGTTTGTAGTTTTTAGCATACAGATCCTATAGATACATTTATACCTAAGTATTTCATCTGAAGCTACTATAAATGGTACCGCTTTTCTAGTTTGCTTCTAATTTTTCATTGCTAGTCTAAAGATATGGTTGTTAGCTAATGACTTTTATTCTGCATCTTTGCTAAATGCAACTATTGGTGCCAGGAATTTTCTTGTAGGTTGTTTGGCATTATCCACTTAGAAATGATCTCATCTGAGTGGGGACAGTTTTATTTCCTTTTTCACTCTTTATACTTTTTTCTCCCTTGCCTTTACAGTAGTGATGTTGAATAGGAATGCTAAGAGTGGACATCCCAGCTTCGCTTCCTATCTGTGGGCCAATAGTCTTTCACCATTAAAAATGATGTTAGCTAATGGTTTTCTCTTTCCTTGGGATAAGCAACCTCTGCCTGCTTCTAGTTTGCTAAGATTTTTTTTTTTTTTTTGGTACTGGGAATCGAACTCGGGTCCTTGCACTTGCAAGGTAGGCAGCAGAACCACTGAGCTAAATCCCCAGCCCCTAAGATTTTTTTTTAATCATTCATGAATGTTGAATTGCCTGAATTTTTTCTGTATCAAATGATATGATTATTTGATTTTTCTCTTTTAGTCAGTTAATGAAATGGCTCACCTTAACTGATTTTCAAATCTGGAAATCCTTATTGGTTATGTTGTATTTTTCTTTTATATATTGTTATATTCAATCTGCTAACATCTGATGAAGATTTTTGTTTATGTGTATGAGGGTTATTTTCTGTAGTCTTTGCTGGGTTTAGTATCAGTAATGCTAGCCCCATAAAATGAGCTGAGAAATATTTCTTCTACTACTGTGGAGGGTTAGGGTTTTCTTAATAGAATTTTTTTTCTTTTTGGTACCAGGGATTGAACTTGGGACCTTACACTTGTGAGGCAGGTTGCAGAAACACTGAGCTAAATCCCCGGCCCTTAATAGAATTTTTCAAATGTACAAATTCAAATATTTAAAAATATAGTACAGAGGCTAGGGATTTAGCTCAGTGTGCTGCGCCTGCCTGGCAAGTGCAAAGTCCTGAGTTTGATTCCTGGTATGAGGGGAAAAAACATACAGTATAGGGCTGGGTATGGTGGCACATGTAGCACCTGGGAAGCTGAGGCAGGAGGATCATAATGAGGTTTCCCCACCCTGGATTACATAACAAGACCTTATCCCAAAAAAACCAAAAATAAAAAAATTAATTAAGTAAAAAATAAAAATACAGTATAGGATTATAGGACAGGGAGTAGCTCAGAAAGAGAACATTTGCCTAGCATGTATGTGGCCCTGGGGTCAATTCCCAGCACCACATTAAGGAAAAAGGTAATAGATAAATAAATGAATGAACAAATAATTACATATTTATAATATCCTTCCCCCCTTTTCTTGGTTTTTAGAGACAGGATCTTGTATGTAGTTCAGGTTGTCTTTAAACTCACTATGTATCCCCAGCTGCTCTTAAACTTCCAACAATCCTCCTGCCTCAGCCTCCCACGTGCTGAGATTATAGGCATGTGTCACCACACCCAGCTCTATCTCTTTCTTCTTGGGTAGGTTTTGGCACTCTATAGCTTTCAAGAAATTTGCATATTTTATCTAAATTGTCCAATTTATGTGCATAGTTATCATATGTTTTCTTTTTTATAGTGCTGGGGATCAAACTCAGGGCCTTGTGAATGCTAGGCAAGCACTGTATCACTGCCCTACTTCCCGAGCCCCTATTTTTAATTATCCTTTAAGGCCTTGGGGGTGGCTTTAGTGCTAATCTTATCTTACTATTCTTTCCTTTTTCAATCAGTGTAGTTAGGCATTTATCACTTTAATGACTTTTTTTCAAAGAATCAATTTTTGGTCTCAATTTTTTTGTACTGTTTTTCTTTTTCAATTTCACTTATTTGTTTTATCTTTATTTCCAGGTTTTTTTTGCTTGCCTTGCTCTTATTTTTCTAGTTTCTTCAAGGGGAAGTTTGAAGATTGCTCTTTGCTAAGAATTTAATGCTACAAATTTCCCCTAAGTATTGCTTTAACTGTATCCCACAAATTCTCATGTGTTTTCTTTTCTTTTTTGGGGGCGGGGGTTTGAGACAGGGTCTCACTATGTAGTTGAGACTGCCCTGGAACTCACTGTGTAGCCCACGCTGCTCTCGAACTCACAGCATCCTCCTGCTTCAGCCTCCCGAGTGCTGGATTACAGGCCTGTGCCACCATGCCCGGATTATTTTCTAATTTCTTGAGACTACCCTTTAGGCCCAAGGATTATCTGGAAGTGTGTTGTTCAATTTCCAAAAATTCTATGTTTCTAGTTTAATGCCATTTAGTCACAAAATATATTTTGCAGGATTTTAATTCTTTTGATTTGCTAATGTAAATTATAGTGGTTTACCTTGCTAAATGTTCAGGATGTACTGGAAAGGTAGATGTATTCTGATGTTGAGAAGAGTATCTATAAATATCAACTAGACTCACTTGGTTTTTGGTTTGGTTACCTCCATAACCTTACTGATTTTCTATTTAGTAGTGAAAGAGACGTGTTGGGTTTCCAACAATTGTGTTTGTTCTCTTTTTTCCCCACCAATTGTGGATTTGACCTTTTGTTCTTTCAGTTCTATGCTTACTTGCTTTATTTATTTATTTGTTTGTTTGTTTATTTATTTATTTATTTATTTGTACAGGGATCAAACTCAGGACTTTGCGCTTGCCAGGCAAGAAAGGCGCCACTGAGCTACATCCCTGGTTGTTCTTTTAGTTCTACTGAAGTTTGTTTCATGTATTAGGTGTGACAGAAAAATACAGTGAATGTTTAAATTTTTAAAAATTATTACAAAACATGTATTACCATTAATTCCCTTCAAAATATTCCCACTCCAAAGGGGAAGTGGGGGGAGGTTGGGGAAAGGAATAAACATGAGAAAACGGGAAAAAAGGAAACAGAGTCATTGTAAATAGGGAAGGGTGGAGCACTGACACAAGGGCAGGGGAATGGGAAAAATAAGAACCAAGACATATTATGTGGAGGTACAAATTCTCCATGATGAACGTCATCATATTGTATACCTAAAATGTACCAATAAACTTAATGAAGAAAATACTCTCCCTCACTTCAAAGACCCTATCTCATCCTTCTCGCCACTTTCTGAAGCAGTTCTAGAAACTCTTTCATGTTTTAGTTGCACTGTGGTGACTGCGTCAATGTCCTGAATTAATTCAAAATGTTCAGTTTTTTTATGACTATTCTGACTTTGGGGAAGTAGCCAGAAGTCACAGGTGCCAGATCCCACCATATCTGATGAATAAGGTAGATGAGGACATCGAAATGTTTTTATGCCTTTCTGTTGGACACAGTTTGGCAGCAGTATTCTCTGTATCTAGAAGACTTCAGAACTGCTTCAGAAAGCGGCAGGAATGACAGGCTAAGCGTGTCTCAAGCCAGGGGGAGGACTTTTTTGTTTGGTTTTTTGAGACAGGGTCTCACTACGTAGTTGAGACTGACCTGGAACTCACTCTGTAGCCCAGGCTGGTCTCGAACTCACAGCGATCCTCCTGCCTCAGCCCCCCTAGTGCTGGGATTACAGGTGTGCGCCACCACGCCCAGCTAGAAATATTATCTTAATTCTTTTGCTGTTCCCCTTTTCCTGTTATAGCTGTCATATGTGTTATATCATCATACACTGACGATATTTTAACTTTTTAACTTTTGTTTTCAACAATCATACATCTTTTTTTTTTTTTTTTTTGTATGGAGACTGACTCAGGACCTTGCATTTATGAGGCAGGCACAGTGCCGCTGAGCTAAATCCCGGGCCCTGACATACATATTTTAAAGAACATAAAAGGAAAACATTATCTATCATATTACTTCCATTGCTTTTCTTACATTCCTGAAGTAATAAAATACTCTCAGGTATCATTTTTCCGCAAAGAACTTGCCCTGGAATTTCCGTTAGAACAATGAATTCTCTTATTTTTCTTCATTCTATAATGTCTTTATCTTGCCTTCATTCCAAAGGTTATTTTCACTGGATCGAGTTCTCGGTTGAGAGTTCTTTTCTTTCAGTACATTAAAAATGTCGAAGGAAATGAAATCCTTCTCATTTCTATGACTTCTAATAAGAATCAAGGAACAACCTGGATGCTCAAAAAGTTTGGGATTTCAGAGTATTATGGAATTTTGGATTAGGGATGCTTAGATATTTATGCAAATATTCCAAATCCCCAAATCTCCAAAATCTGAAACATTTATGATTCCAGGAATTTTGTATATGGGATATTCCACATTTACTGCATCATTTTTTTTTCCTGGTTGCTTTTAAAATGTTTCCTTTAACTTTAGTTTTCAGCAGTGCAATGATTCTCCAATGTAAATTTCTCTGAGTTTATCCTCTTCAGTGTTTGCTTAGGTTCTTGAATCTTCATGTCTTTTGAGTAATCTAGAATTTTCTGGCCAATATTTCTTCAACTATTTATCTGCACATCATACTCTTACTCATCTTTTTCTTGGAGCCCAATGATACAAATGTCAAAACCTTCTGGTATTTCTCCATAGTTCCCTGAGGCTCTGTTGTGCTTTTTCCCTCCCACTCTTTTTCCTGTTGTTCAAACTGGATGATTTCTACGGATCTATTTTCAATTCACTTTCTTTTAAACTTGTTATTAAGCCTATCCAATGAGTTTCCAATTTTTAGTTACTGTATTTTTCAGTTCTCATGTTCCTATTCGGTTCTCTTCTGTATTTTCTATTTTTCTGCTGAGATTTTCAAGAATGTTCTTTTAGCTGGGTGTGGTAGCACATGCCTGTAATCTCAGCCCCAGGGGAGGCAGAGGTAGAAGGATTTCAAGTTCAAGGCCAGAGCAGGGGATTTAGATCGATAGCAACTCACTTGCCTTGCAAGTGCAAGGTCCTGCATTGGACCTGAGTACGATCCTGGGTACAGGGAAAAAAAATCCTGACCAGATCAAGTTCAAGGCCAGTCTGGGTAACTTAGCATGTCAGTATCTCAAAAGGAAAAATAAACATATAAATAGGAGTGGGATTATTAATCAGTGCAAGGCTCTGGGTTCCTTCCCTCCTGAGTACAATAAAAAAGAAGTAGTCCACTCTTATTTGTAGGAGCATGGTCTTACTATCTATTTTTAAATATTTGTCCAATAATCCCAACATCTGTGTCACCTTGGGTTTGCCATCCATTGATTGCTTTCCTCTTGCAAATCCATGAGATTTTCCTAGTTCTTCCTATGTTGAGACACTATGGATAGCACCTATAATATCCTGAATATTACGTGGTAAGACTCTGGGTCTTCTTTAAACTGGAGAATACTAACATTTTGGTTTTAGCAGGCAACTTTGCAGGCCGAGTTTTGCCTGCTGGGCAGGAGGCAAGAGAATAGGCAGTAAAAGAAAGCCAATCCAAATTTCCTCAAAGCCCACAATCAGACATTTAGACACCTATGTTGCCACAGCTGTTGCAGTTACTGCAGGCCTCTGGTAAGGACTTGAGTGAGCAGAAAAAGAAAAGAAGAAAAAGCCCCAGGGGAACTCCCCTACTCTTCACCCTGAAGAGTCTCATTTCCTGCTCCCGAAACTAGAAAGAGAAGGCTTCTTTAACTTGTGATGTAATTCTAGGTCTCAGACTGCCACTGAATTCATATCAGAAATAGAATTAACAAGACATTCACCATCAGCCTGGTGGCCTTTAAGTTTCCTAATTTATGAGGTAGGATTTACACTCTCCAAAGTCCTCAGAGAGCTACCAAGAACATTTGGTACAGGGTTTTTAGCTCCACTTGACAGGAAGTCTAGGTGGGGCGTGCTTACTCCATCTCACCCATAACTGGAACAGCACGGGCTCCTAACTTTCTTGCACAACTGGGGTGGGGAACAAATGTGTATGTATATGGACCTTATGCAGCAAGGACTGGCAAACTTATTCTGTATAGGGCTCAGCAGTAAACGTTTTGGGCTTTTGGGAAGGTTCATGGCTCACTCAACGTATTCAACTCTGGCATTGTTGTGTGAAAGCAACCACATGCAAGATATACGCAAGGAGGAGTGTTAGCTACAATAAAACTATTTAATAAAACAGCTGTCAAAAAAAAAAAAAAAGAACCCCAACTGTCAAGGACCTGGGATTTAGCTCAGTGGCACTGCGACTGCCTCACAAATGCAAGATCCTGAGTCTGATCCCTGTCACACACCCAGAAAAAAAAACAAAAACAAAAACAACAACAACAACAAAAAAAACCAGCTGTCAAGCTGTATTTGGCTCACCGACCATGGTTTTGAGACTTCTGTACCACTTCACAAATAATAAGGCTGGTTAAAGGCAAAGTTTACTTCTGGGCTTTTTGTCCATCATTAGATAGCAGAATTCTTCAAATAACTGGAAAAGTTATTGTTTGTTTCATCCACTGCTAGTCCCATGACAGACGGTAACTACACCATACATTCAACTTTGCTTCAGTTATGCTCTTTGATTTATGTAATATCCCCCTCTCAAGAGCTAAAATAAAATTTTAAAAACTGAAACTTCAAGATTTGATTAACTTTATATTTATATACAATTAAAAGGTCTCCAGTTAACCTTCCAAATAAAAATCCTCAGCCAGGGTTGGGGATTTAGCTCAGTGGTGCAGCCACCTGCCTCACCAGCACAAGGACCCAACCCCAGTAGCAAAAAAAAAAAAAGTCCTGAGCCACTATTTTCTCAGGAATATGTTAAGCAGAGGAGGTCATTAAAAAAAAAAAAGTGTCCCAACTTGTTTTTCCAGAACCTTCCAAACTGGAGGTGTGGCCAGTTCATTATCCTTTCACTCACCTGGTTTCCTGCCACAGAGATAGAAGGCCAGTCTGTCAGTCAGCTCATACTGTATTTCTACAAGGCGTTCTGCCAGCTCATGGTGCCCTCCTTGCCTATCAAGAGAACAAAGTACCATTGATACTATTCACTATTCAGAGGTTTTAGAGTAGAAAAGTACAAAGACATCCCCTGAGACATCTGAGCAGTTTATCAAACATGATTTTTTAGAATAATCAACTTTTCTGTGTGAGGCAGGTTATCAACATCTACCTTGAGGCTCAGTTTTATGAACTGTTTTCACTATCTGAACTATTCCTTTCCTTTATAAACATACAGAACAGAATAACAATACGATATTCAAAGACTTATGAAGGATAAAGAATAATTTTATTTAATGAGGCGAGAAAATAAAATGAAGGTAGAGGTTCACAGCAGTTAATGAGGATGTTCCCAGAAATACATAATGTGCAGGCCTCACCCTGAGAAATTCTGAATAATTAAGGATGGGATGGGCACGGGCATCAGTATTCTGAAGAAGGCCCCTCCCCTAAATGATTCTGGTGCAGCCAGGCTGTCTCTGGGTAAGTTTAGAAGCCATAATACTTGAAGGGCCTCAATTCAGAGACAGGCCAGCCTAATGCAGAGCTCACACTACAGCTGTTTTCTTTTTGTTGGGGGAAGAGGGAGGCCGGTTTTTTGAGACAGCATCCCTCTATGTAGCCCAGGCTGGCTTTGAACTTGCACCGATCCTCCTGCCTTAGCTTCTCTAGTGCTGGGATTACAGGCGTGCGCCACCACACCAAGGTTCTCCTCTTTATCTTTAATTTATATAGCAGAAATATAAAGTTTGCCTTTCTTCATTCATGAAATAAATATTTAAGCTACCTGGAACCCTTTTAGTAACAAGGCATATAAATAAATGATTATGTGGAGAGAATATTACATGTAAAGCACATATGCGGAAATTCCAAAGTAAATGATAAATTGTTTACTGTGGGCTCTTTTCCTCTTCAAAGGTCAAGACTAGTTTCAGCCAGTTTCTCCTCCTACCACTCAAGGCACCACAAATTACCTGCCAACCACCACGTCTTTGGTTTTTTTTTTGGTACCAGGGATCGAACTCAGGTCCTTGTGCTTGCAAGGCAGGTGGCAGAACCGCTGAGCTAAATCCCCGGCCCACGTCTTTGATTTTTAACATGCACATCTTTTCAAAACATCTGTGAAACCATAATTGATGGTACATCATAATTTAACTGACAGACCTTTTCTAACGCTGCAGGAAATGATGATGCACTGTACAGTCAATGCAGACCCAGATCTGATGGGACACTGGATTCCTGCTGCTGTTCTCAGGCACCTCAGCTCAGTCGGGTTTCTTGCTGTGCTGAGCGTGCTGTGTCCATACCAACCTCCTGACCATGACTGCCTTTCCTCTCACCTATAACACTTTAGTTCTTCCTTTACAGGTCCACATCTAACCTATTCTTCAAAGAACTAAAGAAATGTCCCAATGCTTTGGGCCACAACAAAGCAACTACACATATTTTTTTAAGACCAACTATCTGTTTTGAATCACATGTTATTTTGCCTCATTTAACCCTTTCAGGCTTATATGAGTCATTTCTTCCAAGAGATAAATTCTGGGAGGACAGAGTTTTTTTGTTTTGTTTTGTTTTTATCCTGTGTACAGCAATGCACAGGGTTCTGCAGTAAATTAAAAAATTTGGGGGAAAAAAAGGAAAGATGATTGGTCTTCTGTCATTCACTGATAATCAAGACTAACTCATGGATTTACTTATAATTCCAGTATTTTTTTATATTAGAACTTTCAAATAAAGAAAAATTTAGCTGAGCATAGTGGCTCATGCCAGTAAACCCAGCTTCTCAGAAGCTGAGGAAGGAAGACTGCTTGAGCCAAAGAAACTAGTTGAGGCAACATAATAAAACCTCATCTCAAAAAATAAACCACCAATGGCTGGGGATTTAGCTCAGTGGCACTGCACCTACACTGCAAGTACAAGGTCCTGAGTTCAATCCCTGGTACCAAAAAACAAGCAAAGAAACCCACCATCAAATGCATACAAAAGGAAAAATTTTTAAATTGTACAAACAGCACCCATGTCCACTATCTAAAACTTACAATTAACAATTTTGTACACTTGTTTGGTCATATCTTCTTCTAGATTTTCTTTTAAATTCAAGCAATGACTAAAGAGTATCACAAAACTGAAGTATGGGTTCTATAATTCTCAATACTTGACTTGTACTTTAGGTCTCAAATACCTGTGTTATAAAATATCAAGTGAAACATTAGAAGTTAAGCATACTGATTTATAATTCTACCTTTCTTGGGCTGGGGATTTAGCTCAGTGGTTCTGCCACCTGCCTTGCAAGCACAAGGTCCCGAGTTTGATCCCTGGTACCAAAAAAAATAAAATAAAATAAAAATTCTACCTTTCTCTAATTTTGTCAGGCTGGGCTTACAAGCATTTGAAACATATTCATCTGCAAAATAATAGAATGTAAACTTTTGAAGTTTTTTGTTTGTTTGTTTTGAGAAAGGGTCTTGATATTCAGTTCAGAGTGGCCTTGAACTCACTATGTAACTCAGGCTGGCCTCAACTCACAGTGATCCTCCTGCCTCAGCCTCCTGAGTGCTGGGATTACAGATGTGCAGCACTACAACAGGCTGTTTAGAATGTAAATCTTGTTTTTGTTTGTTTGTTTGTTTTTTGGTTTTTTGAGACAGGGTCTCACTATGTAATCGAGACTGATCTGGAACTCACTAAGTAGCCCAGGCTGGTCTCAAACTTACAGCGACCCTCCTGCCTCAGCCTCCCGAGTGCTGGGATTACAGGTGTGCGCCGCCACGTCTGGCATTAGAATGTAAATCTTGCAAAGGGTTAAATATTAATCACACACAGTTTAGCTACCTAACAACTCATACCCAACACATATAGAGAAGGGGTAAGTATCTCAGTCTCTTACCTTGCATAATCAACCGGAGTTTTCCCACTAGAATCTTGTGTGCCCGGGTCTGCTCCATAGACTGCCAATAATTCAGCTTGTAAAATCTGCCCTGCTTTGGAGGCAACATGGAGTGGCGTGTTTCCTTTTTCCTAAGAATCATTAATAAAAAGTAAACAAAAAAAGCAAATTAAATAAACTAAAGGCTTCATGAGCATAACTCAGGGTCAACTTAATATCTGAATCAATGCACATTTTCTTACTGGATGAAAGAAATTGGCTTGGGCTCCTAAAGATAATAGTCTCAGACAGGTTTCGAGATTCCCTGTTCTCACGCTTGAATGGAGTTGCTGAAAAAGACACAAACAAACAAAAAAGAACACTTGTTAAAAGTATCAGGAACGACACACTAGAGCAGCTGACAGCCTATTTTAATATAAGTTACATCAATAACACATGATCGCTATTGAGTTCTGTCAGGTAGATGGAAAAATCTGGTCTCACAGGGTGGGCCAGGCACACTTTGCTATAAGGATACTAGGGCTGTGAAGAGTGACCTGCCCAAAGCAGGACTCCCCTAAGCAAGGGTTACAACCAGAACCTGAGAGTACAAGGTGGCTGTGCGCATCTCTGAAATATGATTGGCCTGAATTTCAAGCCCTACCTTTTCCCTTCAAGCTGTGAAGCGACTGCTTTGGGACAGTTCTTTAAGTGAGCTGAACTTCAGTTTCCTCATCTGTAAAATGTGATAGTAACACTACCTATTGATAAGGTTTCTGTCAGGATTCAATGATACAATTAAGTACTTGTCACTGCACTTGGTGTACAGGAAGTGCTCAGATAATTCAGATGCTATTACAATAATTGTTATTACTTGTTACATTGTTGTTGACTCAATGGCTTCAAATTCTACACTGTGTAAGATACAGGACTTTGCCTTATACCTTACTCTCTCCACAACACTATTCCTGGCCTAGCCAAAATGGTTTTCTAAAGTCTCCCACAGTGGGAAATAGGCCCGTAGGACACCAAATTCTATATTATTGCAGAAAAGCTCAAACATCCAGAAGATGAGCTGCCTTCCTTCAAGCCTGACCTAGACTTGTTTAAGGTGCAATACTAAAGGAATGGAGAAATCTACTCTTATCATCTACATCCACATATTTAAAAAAAAAAAAAAACAGTAAAAAAAAAAAAAAAAGAGAGAGAGAGAAAACAATGTTAGTCTTACTTATTAGTGGAAGTAATAATTATACATATTTCTATGCAAATTTTAATATTCTGAATTGTAAGGGTCAGGCTCTATGTGAGAATCTGTCAAAACTAGTGATTTGAAAATATGTGCATTTCTTGTAGTACCTCTAAAACATGCTAAGACCCATCTACTCATTTCATAAGTATAATAAACCTGTGTGCTACAACTTTGAGTCACACCCTATTTTCTGAAGATCCTTCTCAGTATGCAACTTGGGAAGCTATCCTTATTAGAAACAACTGTCCAGCAAACTTTCTAGTCTTTTCTAGAAACATGATCTGAGAGGCACTTATTTCAAAGTTAAACAAACAAAAACACTTACCGAAATATAATTTAAAAAACAGTGAAAAAATAAAAAGTTTTCTCGCTACTTATTTCTTCCTTGTACTTCGTTAGGAAAAATGGCTGCCATCTGAATTAAGACTAAAAATGAAACTGACTGCAAAAAAGGTATTATTAATAATTTAATCAATGAAAATGAGGTTTTTCTCCTTTTTGTCTTGTTTTTGTGGTGCTAAGATTCAAACCCAGCACCTCACACATGCCAGGCAATCAGTCTACCACTCAGCCAAACTGCCAGCCTTTGTTTTTCTTCTTTAAAAAAATGTTTTTATATAAAACAATACACTGTCTCATCAAACTCACAGGGATTTTTAAAAGGTGTGACCCACCTTACTAAGATCTTTGGCAGTGACACTATCATCATCCCGGCAGGGCAAGCGATGGACAAATGCTAACATCTGATACTTGGCTCTGATGAATTCTGCTTTAGTGGGACTGGTCGAAAACAAAAAAGAAAACAGTTCACTTACAGTTCAGACACGACACTCCCCATTCTTTGGACTGTAAAAAGAAGAGGAAGTGACCCACATCCCCCACTTGAGAATAAAATGAACAATGCTGAAATGTTTCAACGGTGCTCAAGACCTGAAGTCTGAAAACATACATTAGGGATTATAAATGGCTAGGACTGCAAAAATCTGCTTTTTATAGCATCTTTCTTCTCTGTGTAATTTTCTTAATTGACTGCAACCTTGGGAGGAAGCAGCATTCAGTCCCATCCCATAGGCGCCGAGGCATCAGGCGGACTGGTATCTAAAACCTAGATTTCTGGCCTGACAGCCTCTTGTTTGAGTGCCTGAGTTTAAATCTGATTACATCTATAGCCTCCAAGCCTCAGTCTCTAACTGAAGAAATCACTGACTCCTACTATCTAGAGGCCATGCAAATGACATGATCCCGCCTGCCTCATGCTGAATTTCTACCAGCAAAGAGCCCAATGCACAACTGGGATAGCCGAACTGCCCTCCTGGAGGCTGATCAAAAATAGCTGCACCCCACTCAGTGGAGCGCCATTTGTTACAAAGAGATAGAAGTATTTATAAACATTCCACTCACTGTACTTTATCCTGTGGATTAGCTTTTCTTCTTCCACTCATAATAGAAGCAGGGTCCAGCAAAGAATGCTCCCATATAGAATTAGCACCATTGTTATACAAGGTCTCAACCATCTAAAACCAAGCAGTATGAAATCACATTTTAATTTCTCTTTACAAATAGTGACAGGACTAGGAAACAAGGTTCTGTTACAAATACCAACATGTTTGGGAATTTCACTCATATAACTGTTTTCTGATTTTAGAAGGAGAAGATGAACCTGGATGCAAAATTCACCTTTGGTGAGAAGGACAGCTAAATCCCTAAGTGGGTTTGATTGTTATATAGTTACATATTGGAGGAAGAGTAACTTTAACACTTTAGCTCAGTGCTTCTCAACACTAAACAGATACTATTTTACTCTTTTTTTTTTTTTTTTTTTTTTTTCTTTTGAGACAGGGTCTCACTATGTAGTTGAGACTGATCTGGAATTCACTATGTAGCCCAGGCTGGTGTTGAACTCACAGCGATCCTCCTGCCTCAGCCTCCCAGTGCTAGGATTACAGGCATGTGCCACCACGCCCGGCACTATTTTACTTACTTACTATGTTATCTGCTTAATGTTTTTCTTTAAATCTACCCATTTAAAAGCATTATGTTATTAAAACATTGTTATTATATCATTAACAATTATGTTCTGATATACTAGTTATAGTTTTCTTACATATGTTAAAATAACACAACCATTAAAATAATTATTTGAGTATTTTTACATGTGTCTTAAGTACCACTGGCGGCTTATGGTCCATACTTTGGAAACTGCTGCTAGCATTGTAAACTACTCATCTCTGGACTTAATTCAGTAATATAGTCTGGCTTTACCCACTCCCTTTCACGTGAGAATGAGCTATTGGAAACTTCAGAAACAAATGATTTCAATGAGCCACATCTCCCAATTTCATTTTTAAGTCAGGACCCCTAGCTGGGCATGGTGGTGCACATTTATACCTCTAGTGCTCTGGAAGGCTAAGGCAGAAAGACTGCAAGTTTGAGACCAGACTGGACAGCTCAGTAACTTAGTGAGACCCTGATCTCAAAAAAAAATAAAAAGGGTTAGGGATGTAGCTCAGTGCAAAGGCCCTGGTTTCAATGTTTAGTACTACACACACACACACACACACACACACACACACACACACACACACAAAAGCGCGTGCATGCACACAGAACTCTAACATGGCTCCATGTGTTTTTTACAACCACAGACATATTTTCATAACAGAGATCCAAACCCACTTGTTTTTGATCCCTTGGTTCATTCAGACGAGTTTAAGGGACATGCTATCCAGCTGCCACAGATTTAGTGAAGTGTGTACTCAAGACAAATGAAGGAAGGTAAACACACACTTGATCCTGAGTTCCAAGAGAACTTGAAGAATGTGTACCCCAAACAGAAATACAAACAATTTTGACATCGGGCCCCAAACAAGACAAAGAGCCATGTAACTCTTAACAGTGTGTCAGGCATGGAATCAATAATCTGATTTCCTTCTTTCTTTCTTTTTCTGAGACAGGCTCTTGTTATGCAGTTCAGCCTGAGCTTGAACTATGTAGCCCAGGGCGAGCCTCAAACTCCCAGCAGTTCTCCTGTCTCAGTGAGTGCTGGGATTACAGGCCCACTTAATCTGATTTCTAATCAATAATGAAATGCAGCACTGGGATTGAGCCCTCGGAACTGAGCACGTACTGTCAGCACTCTATCACTGAGCTACATCGGTAGCCCTTTTTATTTTGAGATAAGGTCCCCCCTACGTGGCCAAGGCTGGGGTTGAACTTGCAATACTCTTACCTCAGCGTCCTGAGTAAAGGCGAATTACAAGTGTGTACCATCATATCCAACTTAACTAGAGTTTTAACAAAACTTAAATTAGATGTTTCAGAAATGTCTGAGGAATCCCAGGCCATGCTTCTATTAAAGTGGGGGGAAAAACGTTCTTAAAATATTACTAAGATACTGAACAATAAGTATATTAATGAAAAGTTTCTTAGGCATTAACTGTTGGAAACATATATCACAGTATGTGGAAAAGATGAACCAATTTCTAGTGATAATTTAGAAAGTCAGCAGTGAAACAATATCAACAAATTTTAAATATAATTGAGCTTGAGCGACATTTAAATTAAAAGAAGGGAAAAAAATTTTTTGGCAGCATTTTGCTATGTCGTCTAGGCTGGCCTCAAACTCACAGAGATCCTCCTGTGCCAGCCTCCCAAGTCCTTGGATTATAGGCATGCGCTGCCATGCCCAATGAGAAAAAAATCTTAAATGAATTCAATACAGGATAATACATGTACTTATACACAGAAATGATGGGCATAGCATCTCTATTCAATTATTAACCATTTTTAAGAAGTATACTCAGAAAATTTTTATTGGCTAAAAACAATGAGCAGTAAAGCATAAATGACAAACTGTGAGAATTCTTCTTCTTTACCTGAAGGAGTGTTGGAGGCCATGGTGTATGTTTAAGATGCCTTACTTGGGAGATATGACGCCCTAGACTCCGGTGGACACTGCAACATTCGTCACATATAAAAGTTCCCCTATTAACTGATGCCCAGGAAGGATCTGGAAAGAGAATGAAATCTCAGGGGCAAGGACATCAGTTGGTTGCTCTACCATAGGACAGAAAAAGATGACTGAGTTTAGTTTTTCAGAAACGTAAGACTTTTTTGGCGGGGAGGGTACCAAGGATTGAACTCAGTACCTTGTGCTTGCGAGGCAGGCAGCGGCACCACTGAGTTAAATCCCCAGCCCACATAAGACATTTTTTTTTTCTTTTGAGACAGGGTCTCACTATGCAGTTGAGAATGACCTGGAACTCACTATGTAGCCCAGGCTGGTCTCAAACTCACAACGATCCTCCTGTCTCAGCCTCCCGAGTGCTGGGATTACAGGCGTGCGCCACCACACCCGGCCTGACATTTTTGTTGTTTACTAAAACAATATACTGTTTACCAATGTATCAAGCTGGTGATGGTCTAGACAGGGTCTCACTATGCAGTTGAGAATGACCTGGAACTCACTATGTAGCCCAGGCTGGTCTCAAACTCACAACGATCCTCCTGTCTCAGCCTCCCGAGTGCTGGGATTACAGGCGTGCGCCACCACACCCGGCCTGACATTTTTGTTGTTTACTAAAACAATATACTGTTTACCAATGTATCAAGCTGGTGATGGTCTATGATGACACTACTACCTTGGCTGATGAAGTACAAGGTTAACTGAGAGGAACAGCCCTAAATAAGCACTTGGCTTCTCGGTAGTTCTGCATCCTTAATGGGGATCCACCACCCCAGATGCTCTTTTGTTCAATGTAAGAGAAGCAAATGGAGAGAACAGATGAATCATTTGAAATCCATCTCTGCAAATCACAAGATAACCCAATTTTGATAGCGAATTCTTCACATAGCAGTACCTGAAGTAATGAAATGATTGCTGTCCTAATTGCTACACAAATCAATGCGTTAGTGTCACCTAAAAAGGTAGGGCCTAGAAAAGGGAATGGACCATAGGGGCTTTAACTTCATGAGTGCACTAATCCACTACCGAGATCCTCACTTGATGACATTATTTTGAGGTGATGGCAACAGGAAGGTGGGCCACCTTGAAGGGAATGGGCCACAGGGGCACGACTTTGGGGACTATATCTGATCCCAAGCCCCTTCTGCTCTGGCCTTTCCCTGTCTTTTCCTTGTGGCCATGAGGTGAGCTTTCTTCTACCACAACCTCCCACCACAGACTGAAACCTCTGAAAACATGGCCAAGACAAACTTTTCCTCCTTCAAATTGTTTATCTCGGGTATTCTGCCACAGCAACAGAAATCTCAGTAACACAATATTTTAACAGAAAGCTGGGAACGACAACTATAAAACTGCTCACCAACTATAGTTCTGAGAGCAGAGAAATCTGGCTTTCTCAACCAGGAAATGTTTCGCGATATCCATTAGATGCTTTAAATAAACTAGAGTTTAACCTTGCAAATGATCTGAAAGAAAAGCTGCTTCACAGAGGCAAAATATAAAATAGAAATGAGTAATATTTTTGGTGTGCATATAATTCTTTTTCCTTTGAAATCCTACAGAGCTTCATTAGACATCCTTTAAAACAAGGAATAAGGTCTGGGATTTAGCTCAGTGGTGCTGCTGCCTGTCTCATAAGTACAAGGTCCCAAGTTCAATCCCCGGTACCTAAATAAATAAATAAAACAAGGAATAATTCAAACTTGGTAAGCAGGATAGACGTAAGTAAACTGAGAACCCAGAAACTCCAAACAAAGATCCTCTCTATTTCATCAGCTTCAGAGTGGAGTGGTAATAGGTGTCACTAAAGCTACCTGGTGTAAGGGTTGGTTTTTTTGGTACCGGGGATCAAACTTGCACTTGCAAGGCAGGCGCAGCGCCACTGAGCTAAATCCCCAGCCCTTCAAGGGTTGTATTTTTAAACTCTTCAATGTCCACAAAAATCTCTAAAATGTATGTTCATCTTTACCATTTTAACGGTTTATCAAACCTTTCAAGCCATGTAATGAAAAGTTAAGGGATTTCAAGCAAAGACAAATTTTAGGAGCCAGAGAACGTGGTGATTATGAAGGTTAGCTCTAGAGACAAAAAGTCCATGGTTGAACCCCAACTCTGCCACTTCTTGAACAAGGATCTCAGGCAAGTTACTTCTTTGAGTAAGGGTAAATCGGGAACAATACCACCTCTTGCGGGGAGTGAGGGTGCAGAGTAAGTAAAAGACCTCTCATGCAGTAAGTATTCAATAATGCTAGCTGTTACATCTTTTCTAAATATTATTCAGTTATATCCAAGAGTACACTAAAACTCATCATCACTTGAAAGAGCTTTTTATTGTAAAGACAGTACTTAAAATACTTCACAAGTGCTATTCTACTACATTAGTAACTCACTGAAGTTTTCAGATGATTGAACTTAAGATTAAGTACAGTGTATTTAAAATGAACTAGATTCATAAAAATAAGTAAAATATTTAAGATAGGATCAAAGTTAAATATGTGCCGTGAAGTAAAACACAGTAATTCAGTAAAGTATAACTTTTCTAGTATTATTATGCCATTCTAGGAGCAAAGATGGGAAATACCAAGATGAAAAGTCCTTACAAAGGGACAGAACAATATTGCTTTCTGCTTTTACTACTCTTAACAGCCAAAAATAAACAGATAAAACAACCTGTTGGAAGCACAGCTTTGGTTTTGGTTTTTAACATATCATGCAAAGAATTTATAGCATTGAAGGAAATTAAACAGCAACAAGATAAGCAAGGGCTTAACACACATTAAGTGAGATTCTCAATCACTTAAACATCATGTATTGGAATCCCATAGAAAGAATATTAACAACATGGAAAAATCAAAACTGGGTTTGAATAAGGTTAGGTGAAACCCTTCCAGTTTAAATGGATGCTGTAGGGCAGGGCTTTCTATGGACACCACAAATGGACTTCAAAAATCTCTACCCTTCCCTAGTCTGTCTAACACAAATTTTGGGTGGAAAAAGTACACATGCATTTTCTGGGGAGAAGGTTTTCACATTCATCAGAATCTCAAAGGGGTCCCTAACTGGAGAGCAACTTTTTAAAGAGGACTTTGTAGGCTTTGTAGAAAAGGCTGCACAAATTCCTAGCTGCTCAAATTCACAGAACATGTTAAGGTAGCCTCATTACATTCAAAACAGGAAGGAAATGACTCAAGTCTCTGTAGATGAGGCATTCAGACAACTAAAATGATACCCTGGACGAAAAAAAAAATCTAAAATGCACAAAACACAGCAAAAGTGCAGTATAATGTTTGGGATGGCAATGGAGAAACAATCTGCCTTTGCCTCATAATCCAACAAGAAGTAAAGTATCCTACGAGGAAGTATGAAGCAAGGCTCATGTGAATCAGACACTTCACAGACAAGTTCAACTGAAAATAGGCAAGAAAAGAAAGAAGTGGACCAAATAACATTTTCAGAGAAAACAACAGGGTCTGTGTAACATTGGTTTATAAAACACTCTTATTTTTTTGGGACAGGATCTCACTATGTAGTCGAGACTGACCTGGAACTCACTATGTGGCCCAGGCTGGTCTCGAACTCCCAGAGATCCTCCTACCTCAGCCTGCCAAGTGTTGGGATTACAGGCCACCCACCATGCCTGGCTAAAACACTTCTTTTTAAATTCTTCTATTCCCCTCTCTATAGTCAAAGGAACCCGATAACACCACTTGCACTACCCCAACCATGAAATAACCATGTAAAAGCTATCACAGCACTATTTAATTAAAAAAATTGGGGGGGGGGTATGGGGGATCACAGTACTATTTAAAATCAGTCTGTTTCCAAGATGACAAGATGAAGATCTGAACAGGTGCAAAGCCAATGGTGTTTAATGATTCACATAAAATCATTTATTGGACACTGATGTCCCAAGAAAGCCATCTGACATTTGAATTAGTTTAAACTTAAAGCTGTTAAGTCCAAGGATAGAAAACAGCATACAGTAATCTATCCTAAGACCTGTCACTTCAGTTCCAATTGCTAAAATAGATGTAATCTTTAAGTCTGAATATTATGCACAGTAAGAATGGTTTTGGCCTTTCAATGCCCCTGTATGCTTATGCTGCCACTAACTTTGTGTGTATCTGTTTGCTAAAACTGTAATTTAGAAACTCAACTCTAGCTTTAAGAGAATGCCAGGGTTCTGAACTGAGTAATTTAAAAAAGAAAAAAAAAAACTTAAGAAAAGAGATGATCCTAACACTATCCATTTTATTTCCCTAATCATCGAAAATTATCCTTATTGGAAAAAAATGAGGAAAATCTGACCAAGTTAAGTCACCAGACCAAGGTTATTGAGACGCAAAATCTAGTGCGGACCTAGGCCCTCTGGATCCCCAAATGTGAGACACGTACTGATTCCTAAGTGCTGGTTGTCTCCAAGACCCCAACACAGATTCCCGTCCGCAGGGAGTAGCTGCCAGGATGTCAGGAGTGGGAAAGTCATCCACCGGCACCCTCTGGCAAGTCTCCAGGAGTGTAGCACACTCAGGAAAGGTCCCCTTGCAGGAACAGGGGTCCGGTGAAGGCTGACACCTGCAGCCTCTAGCAGCCGCAGCCGGGAGGACGCTCGCATTTTACTTCTGTAATTGGCCTTCCTGTGGGTTGCCCAAGCCCCTTCCTGTCTGGGGAGCGGCTCGGGCCCCCGCCACCTCCCTGACTGGCCTGGGACGCAGTAAAGAGGGAACGAAACGGATGAGAGGGCGGCGGCCCCCTCCCCTCCTGGTTGCCAGGCCCGGGAAGGGTCTCGCCTCTGCAGTCCCAGAACCCGGTCGCTAGAACCCTGTCTTGAGGTGCG